CCTCATGTTCAGCAAGCTTTCCCAAAGCAAGGCTGCAAAACCCAATTTGCTGTTGTTGTTAGGTGCTGTCAAGTTGAGTATGACTCATAGTGATCTTATGAACAGTATATGTGAACACCACCTTATCCTGTGCCATCTTCACTCTTCCTAACACACTGGCACCAAGTGCAGCAGTCAACATGCTCACAGGGTTTTCAGAGGCCTGTTATTTAAGAAGTGATGTCAATCCTGCTTCCTAGTCTGTCTTATTCTGGGAACTCTACTGAAAACTGTCCACCAGGAGTGACCCTTATGGCATCTGACACACCGGTGGCACAGCTGTCAGTATCCAGCAATCCACAAATTATCTCAGTACTGCAAACTGACAGCCAAGTGCTGCACCAATCAGAATAATGTTTGCCCCAAAGGGGAGCTCTGGTGGCCTAGTGGCAAGAAGTTGCACTGCAATCCCAGAGATAAGCGGTTCAAATCCACCAGATGCTCTGCCGGAGAAGGAGGGGCCATCTCCTCCTCTACCAGTCAGATCCGATTTGATGGTACAAAAATAATAAAATGTTTGCCCCAGGAACAATAAACTACCAATTTAGTTTGTATGTCTAATAGCAACTCAGTTTTCCTACCTCAGGCCAACTGACTTTTAATCACAAAGGCCTGCCCACTGGGTCCTGATTGGTTTAAACAAGAGGCTTCCAGCCCTAACTGATAGTTAATTAAATAAAAACTACCAATCAGCTTACACCTTCCAGAATTCGACTGCTTCAAACTAGAGGTCCAAAAGCCCAGCACCCACTCTGTATGCCTCACACCCCAGCATTCACTCAGCAGACCTCACAGCCCAGCACCCACTCTGTGGACCTCACTGCCCAGCACCTACTCTGTGGACTTCATGGCCCAGCACCCACTCTATACATCTCATGCGTCGGCACTCATTCTGTATACCTTATACTTTAGCACTCACTCTGGGGGCCACAAACAAAGCTGCACTTTTGTTGGGGTCAACATATACCCTGAGAAAATTAAAACTGAGATACAAATGGAGATTTGTACACCAATGTTCATAGCAGTGTTGTTCACCATGGCAATAACATGAAGACAGCCCGAATGTCCAACTACAACCTAATGGATGGAGAAACTGTGGTACGTTCACATGATGGAATACCACATAGCATAAAGGAGCAATGATTTTGTAAATCACTACCTAACTTGGGAGGGACTGGAGAGCATTATGTGAGTGAACGAACTCAGAGCCATAAGGACAAGTACTGTGTAAGACCATCATTGTAGAAACAGAAAGATAACTAGGAAAATGTGTATGAGGATCCAAAGGGCGGAGAGCACTTGGAGAGGGGTGAGGATGGGCAGGGAGGAGATCCTAGGGTTGTACAATTAGAGGGGCGGGGGGAGGTGTGGAAAGGAAGAGGGTAAGATCCGGTGTGAAAAACAATGTATACGAACTTTGTTAGCAAACCAGTATAAAAATTATTTAAAAAAAAAAGTGGGTGAGGGTGTGTAAATTGGTCAAAATATGTATATGATACTGAATTAAACAGTTGATAAAGGCTCTATGAGAAAAGCCACATCAATTACCTGATAAAATCAGAATGCCTCTGCTATAATTTCCACAATCAATTTTTCCTCTTAAAATTTTGATAAATGAAGTTGTCAGGGGATAAGATCACATTTGTTTCGTTTTGACTATTTTAACTTTCAGAAGTCGGTTCATGAATGCTGCAAATGGTAGCAGAGATAGGATCGCTGGTTTGCTCTTGATGCGGTGGTCACGCTGGCGTGTGCCCACATAACCTTGGGTACTGAGGAAAGAGGCTAAGCTGTAGACGTGAAGTGCTAATGCGACCCCGAGTTCCACACCTGACTGAACCTTACCAGCCCTCCAGGACAGACGAGGGTATTTTCTCCTCTGAGAAAAATACTGAACACCAACTACAAACTTTTCTCGAAGGTCATGTCATTGAGGGTGAGTCTGAGTGATCTATGGGCCTGAGCTGTGTCTGGAGCCGCTGAAAGCAGACACTCAAATCCAGTGATCTTCAGCTCAGCACCTGGAAGTCAATGGTGTCCTCAGCCTGTGTCGGGAACCATGGGAATATCCTCAGAGATGCACAGAGAACCAATGGATATGCCAGAAAGGGTGTCGATGAAGAAGAGTATTCCTTGGAAAATTAGTTTTAAAAGCACACAGTATGGATGGCAGATAACTTGCAAGAAATAGAAATCATTCAAACTGATTATCATGGGTAGACATGGTGACAGCAGCCATGGGCTCACGTGTGTCGGAGATGGTGAGGATGGCACAGGACAGGGCAGAGTTTAGGTCTGTCCACAGGGTCACCATGAATTGTACTTGACTTGATGGCACCTAACAACAATAACAACCCTTACTGACCACCTAAAGCAGGAACTCTCAACCTCTACAGTGAAGCTCACTGCATTGGGTCGAGCCAGGATCCTAGCAACCACATGTGAACAGACCGTGGAAAACTCCAGGAGGATGGCCTCCCGCAGGAGAAGGACGGCCAGCGAGACAGTGTGTGTGGGGCTCTGCTTGTGGATGGCCTCCCGCAGGACAAGGATGGGCAGCGAGACAGTGCATGTGAGGCTCAACAAAAAAGAAGTGGTAAAGCATTCCAAACTGCCTGCTGCACGAGGAGTCAGTAACTAGCTCGTCTCCTGACGAACAGCACTAACGCAATGGCCCAGGGCAGCAGCCATGACTGAAGGTGGAGGAGGAACACTCCTCTGACAGTCCTCGCCTACGGAGGGAAAAGGACAGAAGGTGGTCCTTAACACAGGCGCTCAAAGGGGGGTGATGAGAAAGGCCAGTTACCGAAATATTAAACCCACTGAGATAACAGACACGAAGACACAGCTACAGAGGATTTACACGGGAGTTTCAAAGGAACGAAGACTTTCAGCAGCAGTGAAGAAAAACAGCGAATTAAGCCATGGATGATGTCTGGGTTAAGGAATCAAATGGTGACTGTTAATTATTTTGGGAAGTCCTTTGTTAGTGGTGACGTGCTGGGAGACTGGAAAATGAGGAACTGAGTCTGAAGGTGAAGAAGAAAAAGGGGAGAGGCTGCAAATTACAGACCAGGGAAGTCTACCATCTATATTAGGAAATAAATTTGAGATGATACTTATGGATGAGCTTAATGATACATTTGGAGAAGTACAATTTAATAGGTGTGAGTCAGCATGGATTTACCAAAGGAAATCATGTCGCAAAAAAATTTCCTGCCTTTTTAGGTTGAAGCAATAATTGGTTTATGTAAGGAAGGATCAATGAGATGCTGTCAGGATATTCTGAGATTTTTGGACCTTTTCATAAAACAAATTCTTGTACAAAAAGTCGTGACACGTCAGGGCTCTTAAGAAACAAAGGGGTGAAGGAGAACTGGGCTAAAAATAGAGGCCGGGCCAGCTCCAGGACACAGGGAAAGAGTCACACCCGCTCACACCGAAGTCTCTGCTAAGTGATTCCCACACCCTCCCCTCGCAAGTATGAATGTAGCACGGGAGGAGGAGGATCGAGCTAGTTACCTTCCCTTAGATCCAGGAAGCAGTGGGCTTGGGGGGGACTATGGAACTCAATCTGCCCAAGTACCCCGTTAAACACTGCAGAGAACTAGGGGATCCAGCCGGAATGAGAGCTTTAAGGCGGCGCTGCAGCACTTCTCATTAAAGAGAACAAGGAAATACACGATCACCTTCAAATTCCTTATCCGTGGGAGGCAGGCGCTGCCAGCAAGTGCAAATAAACAATGCACATTATAAAGAACAGAAAAGAATGAGAGAGAAATATTAATATCTCAACTGTGAATGAAGTAGACTAGATTAACCAGCTGTCTCCATGGATCAGAAGTCTTCTCATGTGAACACTGAAATGCCAATATTAAAATCTCAATACAGAAGAACTGAGGGGAAGCATCCCAGTGCCCACATCACTCTGGAAAGGTGGAACAGAAAACAAACTGGAAAGACCATGTCATCACTGGAGTATTTATTTAACCCGAGAGCAAGATGCTGTGTGGCCATCACTTCAGACAAATATGCCCTCTCTGTCCCCGTGTCCACTGAAACAACTCTCATTCCAGACTAACTTCCAGCTACACCTGGAACCTCTAAATTTACTTCAGGGAAATCTTTCCCAAACATCTAAGGTGCCATTTCCTCGCTCTCCTCATGAAGAGCTCAACACTCAGAGAATCCTTGCTGCTCAGGAAAGAAAAGGGAGAGCCATGGGGGGACGGGTTGACCCTCACTTTTGTAGTCCTCCGGGGTTTCAGAGTCCGAATGTGAGCAGAGTGGGGCCAGGGGTCCCAGCAGCCACGCAGCAGCCGCAGCATCCCCGGCACGACCCCGCTCTGTCACTGGTACTCCCACCCCTCACCTCGCCCTCGCCAGGAGTGTGTTACAAAGCTCAGCACTTGGTCAGGGCGTACTCGGCAGAGGCTCCCATTTCCATGCCTTGGTGTTTGATTACGTGCTGTTATTAACTTGGCTGCCCGAGGTCAACGACTGTGCTATCTGCCTGTTTTTCTACTTCAGTGGGGTGAAGAGTGGATCTTCTTAACTTGCTTCTAAGTCCTCAAGCTCAGACTCGCCCAATCAGCTCGAGTGAAATCAACAACAGTGCCATGTAGTCACATCACAACTACTGTGGGCACGTCCCTACCCAATGACCACAGGGAACACTCTGTTCCAGGGCACGTGGGCCCGGCACACAGCAGCAGAACCGTCACAGCACCCCCTCACCCTCATGTGTGCATGAGGGCCACCACACAGCAGCAGAGCCATCACAGCACCCCCTCACTCCCAGGTGCACAAGAGGCCCCCCCAAAGCAGAGGGCTGTCACAGCTCCCCATTATGCCATGTGTGTGCACGGTGCCCCCTCACAGGAGCAGGGCCGTCACAGCACCCTCTTACCCAATGTGTGCACAAGGCCCCCACAGCAGCAGGGCTGACAGCCCCCTTTTACCTGCATGCAGGTATGCCAGATCTGGGTTCTCGATGTCAGGATGCTGCTCTTTCAGATGGTTCCGGAACTCCACGGGGACATTGGTCCCGTAGTCGCACTTGGGGCAGTTGTACATCTTGACGCCTTCATGCTTGCCAGTGTGTAGAATGTGTTTACGGATGTTCTCAGCACAGTTTGACCTGTCAAGGAAGAAGAAACAAGAGCATTAAGGCCAGCTCAGGAACATCCCCGCACAGACAGAGAGCTCAGTGGACGTGGCTGCTTCCATCCTAAGAGCCTCGCTTCGCTCACACGACACATGGGCCCTCATGGTGAGGCCTGAGACGCCCTGTGTGTGTGTCTGTAAGTCAGCCTTTTACTGTAGTGACTCTTTACTGTATGATTCAAAACAATCCCAGGCCCCACTGTTTTATTCTCAAATGACTGCGGTACCACTTGAGGGCACTGGAGGTGCTTCATTCCTCCTTGAGGACACACCTGTCATGCCTGAGAGGAGAAGCAGCAATGGACCATCAGCAAAGAGACCGCACGAGCCTTAGGAAGCCCTGAAGCTTTGGCACTGAGATGCCATCAGAGTAGATGCTCCAAGTTAGGTGCTCAAGGAACCTGGACAAAGAGGGGGTGCTTAGAAACACCCCCCCAGTCCTAATCCCCCAGCATCTGAACAGTCTATGAACTGTCAATGAGTCTGCACAGGGGCAGGGTTTAGTGTGGGGGACTGGACGATACAGCGAAAGGCCCTTCCACCTGTCCTTACCAGCTCACAGCCCTGGGCTCTGTCCACTCTCCTGCAGGGCTGAGGGCGGAACGTCAGTTCTGAGGATGCTGCCTGTGGCGTTCGACTCTCCCACTGGCTCACTCTTGCCATCAGTCAGAACCTTTCTATGCAGAAGTCCCAGCTAGGGTCATTCCAACACATACACAGATAGGAAGACAGGAGAGAGACACACAGACAGAGACAGCTATGTTCTATAGCTCACATCATGTGAAAGAGGAAACTGCAAAACTCAAGGAAGGTTGAGGTGTTATCTAAAGAAAAAAGCAGACTTTGCACACGACCTACGATGCAAGCTGAAAGGCAGCAAAGACAGAGCAGTGTCTCCACCAAATGCCGACTCCAGGACTTTTCCATAAACAACAGACATTGCATGTTTTTTACAAACCTAAGGACCACCCAGCCCATATTCTTTATTTTCACAATCACTCATGTCCACCCAACCATGTCATATCTATTATTTCCAAAGTCATTAAGCCATTTTCTGAGAACTTTGGTGGACTAGTGGTACACTGTGAACCCAAAGGCATGCGGTTCGACTCTACTAACTTCCTGCACGGGAGCTCCTCCCATGTGATTTGCTACCTCTGAAAACCCACTGAGGGTCAGCTGTGGGTCGGCTCCCACTCGATGGTACACAACAAGCCTTTCTGTTCACGTGCTGTTGACTTCAACTGATGCTCCTAAGAACACATCACAAAACTAAGAAGCAAGCAGACCCAGCATAACCTAAAAGGGTCACATGAGATTATTTGTAAGGTTTTCACATGCAATTGTTGATCAGACATAGTAAGTTATTAAATTAACAGAAATAAATGCACAGTTTCCACTGTTTGTTTCCTGATTACAGGGGGACATTCCAATCTATCCATGACTTCATGGCTATGATTTGTGTCTTTCCTGTACAAGTATGAACAAAAGTAACATTTTAGGACATATATGTAGGTGGCTGTGCCGCTTACAACTCATAGTAAGTGACTCATAGTGACCCTATGTACAACAACCCTATACCCTGCTCTATCCAGCGCCAATCTTATCGTCTCTGACACACCTACCCCCAGTACCCGAGTTAATGAATCAATTCATCTCTTCGAGGGTCTTCCTCTCTTGTGCTGTCCCTCTCTATGGACTGGTCCCTTCTTGCAACATGTCCAGAGTCAGATGAAGGTTCAGAGTCCTTGCCTCCAAGAAGCCGCCTGGTTTCACCCTCTCTAGAACAAATCTGTTTGTTCTCCTAGTCATTCATGGTATATTCAATAATCTTCTCCAGCACTACAGCTCAAAGGCATCAGTTCTTCTCCCATCATCCCTATTCACTGATGCATAACAAGAAATTGCAAAGACCATGGCCTGGGTCAGGCCCATCTTACTCTGCAGACTGACATCACTGCTCTTCAGCACTCTAGAGAGGCCACTGACAGCAGACTTTCCCAATGCAATTTGTCTTTTAATTTCTTGGCTGCTGGTACCAAGAGTGTTGATTGTAGAACTAAGTGTGTTGACTGTGGAGCCAAGGAAACTGAAGCTGTTAAAAATCTCGATCTCTTCACCATTTATCATGACACTACTAATTGGCCAAGTGGAGAGACTCTTTGTTCAAGGATAGGCGGTAAGGACGGAAAAAAAGTTAAGTGTACACTCTTGCAAAACTCGGCTTCACTCAATAGACAGCTTTTAGGTTTAAATGACTCAAGAGGTCCAGAGACGCCCTCCCCTTCTTTGGTCCCATTCCTGTATTTCTCTAATTTAATTCAAGATCCTTGCTGGAAGAAAGAGAACATTAATACCAGGTAACCTGCTTTTCTAAGCTGAATCAGGTAGGCTGGAGCCATGTGTCAGTATGAGTAGAAGTGACGAGTAATTTCTGGGCTGAAGCAGCTAGCCGTGTGTTAACAGAAACACAGGGAAAAGATCGTCAGAAAGAGCCTGACAATCAGCCAGGTTACAAGCCGCAGACCTGTGGTTCAGCCCGACACCCTCCCTCTCCTATACCCCACCCCCACATACACACATGCGCACACACATACTCTCACGTACATATTCTCTCTCTCTCTCTCTCACACACACACACACACCCCAAACAAACAAGAAATGACAAGAAACATACGAGGAAGCAGGGGAATATGGGAATATACTAATATCCAACAATGCCCCAATACAGTTGCTGATACATCCCATTTTCTAAAAAAACTATGAGATACAAAGAAATAAGCAGAAAAATGTAGCCCACACCCTGAAAAAGCAGGCTAGAGACAATGCCCATGAGAGAGTCCGGAGGTTGAATTTATCAGACAAAGACGTCAAAGCTGCTGGTATTATTAAAACAAGAAAATATTTATTACTTGCTGCCCTGTTAAACTTTGCCGCTGTTACTGGAGTGAGATGGTACCTCATTGTGGTTTTGATTTGTACCTCTCCTATTGCCAGGGATTTGGAGCATTTCTTCATGTGTGTGTTTGCCATTTGAAATCTTCCTCTGTGAAAATTCCTTCCATGTCTTTTGCCCAATTTTATAACTAGGCTATCAGTCTTTTTCTTGTGGAGGCCCAGGAATATTCTGTAAACTTTTGTTATAAGACTCTCGTCTGAGATGGCATTACCAAATGCTTCTTCCCAGTCTGTAGGTTTTCTTTTCACCCTGTTGGAAAAAGTTTTTGATGCACATATGGATCTAATCTTTAGAAGGTTTCATGCATCAATTTTGGAGAGGATGTGGTGAGAAAGAAACTCTTATACATTGTTAGTGGGATTATAAAATGGTACAACCATTCTGGAAGGCAGTTTAGCTTCTGAACATAGAAATTCCGTATGACCCAGTTATTCCACTACTTGGAATATACCCTGAGAAAATGAGAACTGAGGCAAAACTGAGCACTGTACACCAATGTTCACAGTAGTATTATTCACCATCACAAGAACATGGTAACTGCACAAATGTCCAACCACAAAGGAATGGATTGAGAAATTATGGTACATTCACACAATGAAATACTATGCAGCATGCAGGAGCAAGGATTTTGTAAATTATTACCTCACCTGAGAGGGACTGGAGAGCATAGTGACCTAATTCAGTCCCACAAGGATAAACAGTGTATAAAACCTTTATTGTAGAATGAGTATAAGAATCCAAGAGGGGTGGGAGAGGGTGGCAGTAGAGGGATGAGGATGTGCAGGGGGAGGGGGAATTAATCATGGGGTTGTACAATTTGATGGATGGTGGGGTGAGGGAAATGGAAAGAATCTGTTCTTAAAAACAATGTATTCAAATTTTGTAAATAAATGAGTAGAAAATTTAAAAAAAAACAGAAGAAGAAAACACACTCACCGCCACTGCATCTATTCTGACAAATGATGACCTTGCAGAACAGAGTGGAAGTAAACCAAAAGTTTGCAAAACTTTACATCTTAACTGAAGCCAACTCTGGCACTTTGTTGATGGAGCATCTGAATTCAGGCAAACCATTCTGCTTAGGAATATACGGAAAGAATTAACAAGGGAATGGCTGTAACTGCCAATGCCCAATCACCTAGAGAACATCAATAATGAAATAAAAATTATTTTAAAAGGAAGAATTTCAAATGTTAGAGAGATAATAATGAAAACAGAAATTCACCAGGAGTGCTCAACAGTAGGTATAAATAGCAGAAGACTTAAAAAATGTGAAGAAAGATAAACAGAGATTATGAAATCTTAAAAGCCTAGTAACAGAGCAAGAACAGAGGCTCTGAGGCCTTTGGGCTACAATTTAGCATACCAACGTACGTGTAATGGGACTGTGAGGGTAAGGAAATCCGAGAAAAGAATAGGGGGATGGAAGACCTGGGGACACAACAGCTCAAACTGAAGCCTTCCCCGACCCTTCCCAATATGTGAATGAAAATCTAAACATTAAAGATGTTTAAGCACGAGTACATCAAGTACCTTTCCCCCCCAAAATATGCATATTCTAAATTCCTTTACCAACCATGCCTGTCTCCACTCACAAACTAATTCTACAAGCATACATCATTTGCCCCCAAAACCATGCACATGACACAATGTGGAAACGTTGTAATGATACCTCTAACCTTGATAAACCAAACAGCTGGGAAAGTATCACATCGAATGCCCTCCTTAACCACATCAAAGCCCTGACTGGATGTGCAGGAAGTTTCCCCTAAACCATGGCCTGTACTGGGTTTTCTCTCAGAAGAGGTAAGAGGAGGAAAGTGACAAGGGAACCTTCACTCCCACCATGAAGGAATCGGCAGGATTGCTGTGCTTCCCTTTGGATTCAAGTGCCTGGACTAACCCCGTGTCACCAGGGAAGGCTAGGACACACAGGTCTCCGGGGGAGGTGGTACAGGCAGATCCTGAGAAAGACAGAGACCTTCGCACAGAACTAACACAGAAGGTGGTCTTCC